ACTAACCCTAACTAACCCTAACTAACCCTAACTAACCCTAACTAACCCTAACTAACCCTAACTACCCTAACTAACCCTAACCTAACCTAACTAACCCTAACTAACCCTAACTAACCCTAACTAACCCTAACTAACCCTAACCCTAACTAACCCTAACTAACCCTAACTAACCCTAACTAACCCTAACTAACCCTAACTAACCCTAACTAACCCTAACTAACCCTAACTAACCCTAACTAACCCTAACTAACCCTAACTAACCCTAACTAACCCTAACTAACCTAACTAACCCTAACTAACCCTAACTAACCCTAACTAACCCTAACTAACCCTAACTAACCCTAACTAACCCTAACTAACCCTAACTAACCCTAACTAACCCTAACTAACCCTAACTAACCCTAACCCTAACTAACCCTAACTAACCTAACTAACCCTAACTAACCTAACCTAACTAACCCTAACTAACCCTAACCTAACTAACCCTAACTAACCCTAACTAACCCTAACTAACCCTAACCCTAACCCTAACTAACCCTAACTAACCCTAACTCCTCGGAGTTTGGGCGGTGTTAGGAGTTATCGGGGTTACGGGGATAGGGAGATATGTCAGCATGACGTGTTTCGGCGTTAACGGCCTAACGTTACGCCGAATCGGCGATAAGACGCGGCGGGACTTTGGCCCGCAACCTAACCCTAGGTAACCCTAGGGTCACGCGCTCTCACTCGATGTCTGGCGGTCCCTATTATATATACCGCCCTCGCTGCTGGCACTGAAGAGCTCATCATCAAAGCGAAACCTGAAGCGATAGCCTGTCTACCTTCCTGTCTGCCTCCTTGACGATTCTCTTCTCGATAGTTTACGTTCCATTCCACCCTAACTAACCCTTACGACTATCACCATGTCCGCCCCTGGCCCCTCCACCGTTCCCACCGACCTTCCGATTTTCGGATCTGTTAAGGCCAGAACTAGACGACCTGTCAGTACTGAAACCTTACACGGGTTTGGTCACCTAACTCTTGACGGTCCCTCCCACCTCATGGGTTCCATCCCCACCCCCTCCAACGAACTACATTGGCGAGAAATGATCGCAGACGCCTATCTAGCTACGACTAGCGGAGAGGAAAGCGCCTACAAACACTATCAAAGTGCGTTAGCCGCTTACATGTCTTCCCGACCCCCTATCGAACGAATGGAAGACATCAAAAAACTTCTCCACCCTACCTTTCGACTCCGATTGTTTGACGAGTTATCTCTGCTGCACACCACAGCGGTTAAGTTAGTCGGGGTAGAGCAAGCCATACGTTCCCTGGAGAAAAATAAGTTCGAAAAGAAATTTCCGACCGTACTGAACCCCGTGGCCAAGGCCAAAGTCCGTACGCAATTCACCTCCTTGTATCCCGCCGAAATGCAACAATCGGCAAACAATCGGATTGCCGTTCTACAATCCGAAATGGCGAGTAAGCTTCTTGATGAGATCATCACTCAGAAAAGAGGGGAGAAAGCCCACCTTGACGGGTTGTTGGCTAGGGAATCCTATGAGAAACGTCTTCGTGATGCTATCAGCCGGGACTACCAAGCCGCCAAGATCCGATACGGGGAACGCCCCCAGGCTGAGGATGTTGATATGTCCGTCGGTGACCAACCCACAGAGGCGAGAGCCCAGCGGGATAACGCCGGCGACATTAAAGCTCCTGAGTTTTTATCGGTAGAAAGGGATGCTGCCTTCGGGCTGGCTCCTTTATTGGCAATTCGAGTTCTAGAGATGGCTCGGATAAAACAATCCAACAAGGATTACGTTCTTGAGAAGAAAATTTCTCTCAAGGAACGAACTGTCTTGAAGGTTGGCCAAGAAGCGCCTGAGTCTGAAGAGGCTCGGCTGAAAAGACTTATCAAGTCGCTTCTGCCTAAAGACATGGCTAAGCCAAAAAATCGGTCCAACAAACGCAAGGTAGGAGGGTCCCCATGCCCGAAAAACTCGATTTACCTATCTAACCGCGATTTAGGGAAAAACCGCCCCCAAGGTGAAAGCTCCGGCCAAACCACAGGGAATAAAAAAGACGCAGAAGGTTCGGAAGCCATCTACGCCGACTTCGAAGAAGACGACTCAGAAACGGGTCGCATCATCCACCGTCGTAAAAGGGCCAGGGAAGAAGGCGAAAGTTTAAAGTTGTTAGCTACAAACTTTAACTACGATAAGCCCTCTTCCTATCCGGGTATGTTATTAAATCTCCCCTCCCATTTGCAAACAGACATCTTGGTCGCGAAAGCTAATACCGAAAGGTTTTCAGCACTTCGTAGGTTTTGGCCAGATCCTCATGTGCAAGCAGGGCTTTCTGTCCCAGATTGGGTCAGATATGAGTTAGGGGTTAATTTAAAATATTTATATCCAATCACGTTTAATAAAAATTTAATCTCCACTGCCTTTGATGAATTTACATATTCACTTCGTTGGAAATATTTTTGGTTTAACCGTGATAAAAACAATGATGAACCATGGAACCCGGAATTCTCGTTTACGAAAGTAAAAAAGAATCCACCGAAAATGAGTAACGCACTTGAGAGTGGACTTGCATGTGGTGAGCTTTCCCTTCACGGGGATTACGCTGGGCCCGTAAGATCCAATACCTTACATCGGGACCGTCGCCCCCGATGGAAAGAACTCTCTGAATTCCTAGAAAGTCAAAAAATGATGATCAAAGGAACGGACAAGAACCTTGGGCCTGTTATCTTTTCGCGTGACTGGTACATAAGCGAAGTGGAGAAATTCCTCGCTGACGGTCAAAACTACCGGAAATTGGAAGTTAGTTGGGCAGGGGACCCTGGTCCTACCTTGTTGTCATACAGCAAGGATCACCCGATCAACGGAAGATTCAAGTGGTTGGCTAATACCATCCATGAAGTAAGGCGTGATCTTACCCACATCACACAAAGCCTTATCGACGTAACCACCAAGCAAGAAAAGGAATACCTTGAACGGTGGAATTTGCAATTTGACATCCCTCGGTTTCATGGTATCCCAAAGATACATAAAAAACCTTGGGCCATTCGTCCTATTGCCCCCGGACATTCCTGGGTTACGTCCCCCCTTGCTAAATGGGTGCAGGTTAAAATAGCCGGCGCCGCTAAGGCAACACCATGGATTGTTCAATCAACCAAGGATGTTGCGGCGCTATTACGCAAGGCTATTATCCCTGACTACCGGACCCGCCGTAAAATGTTCGTATGTACAGGTGACGTAGTCGCCATGTACCCGAACATCCCTGCAGACGCACATTCCATTGTCACTGCATGGTTCGCGGATCACCCGGCGCAATTAGATCCCGTTCTGAACGATAACGCACATCTATTGCAAGACGCCATGCGAATTATCAACCAATATGGGATGGTTGAATTCAATGGCTCGTTCTATTCACAGCTCAAAGGTTTAGCGATGGGAGCTGCCTGCTCCCCTGATATCGCAAATATTTATGCTGCATACTACGAAGAACGAAACGTTGATTTCAACGTGCAAACTTTCGAGCACAATAATCCAGTAAAGTTTTATTGTCGCTATATCGACGATTGTTTAGCTATTATCGAGGCTGACTCTGCGGATTAGTGCTGGGCAATTCTTGATAAACATAACCTCGGACCGGTACTCCGCACCGAATGGTCCGTGGTTGGTGAAGGCGAGGGACCTAGTCCGTTCCTCGATTTAGAAATCGATATTCTTTCCGGTAGTACATTAGACTTTAAACTGTACCGGAAACCCTTCAACCATTTTATGCGTATACCATGGGAAAGCGCTCACCCGACGCAAGTCAAGAAATCCGGATTTCAGGGTGAACTTACCCGGATAGCCACCTGCTCGTCTAGACGCGAATTCTACGACCAGTCAGTAGCAGAGTACATGGAACTACTCATTGCGCGGGGCTATCCACGTCAAGTCCTTCTAGCTTGGAAGGAACAGGAAGTAGAGAAACGCTGGAATCTCGCCGTATTACCAAAAGACGATCCAAAGGCTCATTCCTTTGCGGTTCTCAAAACCTCCTACAATGATGTATGGAGCAACGTTAATGTTGCATCCTTTAAGACGGCGATTATCGATGGAGCGATTGAGGCTGGAGCGCTTTCTACGAAAGACGCATTATTCCTAGAGTCCATTCGTGACACCAGATTCCTTATATCGTACAAACGCACACGAAATCTGTCTGACGACGTGAACGCGCTTAACGTCCAGATGTCTAGAATCGATCCTGAATCGTTCAACGACTTCGCCACGAGTGGTGCATTCGACCTCTCTAAAGTTCTGTCTGTACAACGTACGTACAACGAACAAACCGATGATGACGACTCGTCATTCAATTCTTCTTCGGGAGAACTTTGAATTGTCGAAGAACGAACCGATATTCCTTAGAGGCTACCGCTTGCGGTAGAACGTGCTCTTTAGTCCAACGTGGCGCGGAAACGGTCTTTGATCGTGGAAAACGCTGTTGGATGTTTGACGGAGCGCAGGGACCTACGGCCAGGATCCAGGTTGTTATCTGGTGAACCGCTTATGGTCCTCTGAATACTGTAGTAGAACTTCGGCTGGCTATGTTATGAACCTGTTATTTAGTTCCGAAGATGTTATCACGACGGACGCCCCTTCGTGGGAAACGTTGTCGTGCGCTGACACTTCAATGGGTAAAACCTTATCATTATCCGTGGGCAGGACTCTGGTGCGGCCAGAAGAATCCCCACGTTGTGGATAATGATTTGGCTAGTGGATGGGTGGCCGCTGCGCGACCCAATGCCCGCAGGGCATTGGGCGGCTGCTGCCTCCTTGTGACCTGCGGGTTTCCCACTAACCCTAACTAACCCTAACTCCTCGGAGTTTGGGCGGTGTTAGGAGTTATCGGGGTTTACGGGGATAGGGAGATATGTCAGCATGACGTGTTTCGGCGTTAACGGCCTAACGTTACGCCGAATCGGCGATAAGACGCGGCGGGACTTTGGCCCGCAACCTAACCCTAGGTAACCCTAGGGTCACGCGCTCTCACTCGATGTCTGGCGGTCCCTATTATATATACCGCCCTCGCTGCTGGCACTGAAGAGCTCATCATCAAAGCGAAACCTGAAGCGATAGCCTGTCTACCTTCCTGTCTGCCTCCTTGACGATTCTCTTCTCGATAGTTTACGTTCCATTCCACCCTAACTAACCCTAACTAAATAACCCTAACTAACCCTAACTAACCCTAACTAAACCTAAATAACCCTAACTAACCCTATTTAACCCTAACTAACCCTAGTTTGGTCTTTAACCCTAGCTAACCCTAGTTTACCCTAGTTTGGTCTTTAACCCTAGCTAACCCTATCTTACCCTAGTTTGGCCCGTAACCCTAGTTAACCCTAGTTTGGCCCATCACCCTAGTTAACCCTAGCTTACCCTAACCCTAGGTAACCCGAGCTAAAACTCAACAGCCCACCACCCACCACCTCCGCCCCAGACATCACGATCATGGTACATTTTACTCACATATCTGACAATTGTGATGCATTCTATTCGTTTTGGATAACCTATAGCAACGGAATCGGGATTGTACGGCCACGGTTCTCGTCCAACCTCAGAATCCTGTCCCGACTTGCCCTAGCAGACTGGTTTCTGTACAACCACCAACCGTTATAATCAAATCATAATGGGCAAAATCACCTCAGGTCTGCAAACTCACACCGGTGCTCCTGGACAAAATCCGGCCTCATGCGGCTTCTGACCCTGAGTAATTCTCCTTGGAGCAGGCTGTGAAGCATACCTTCGGTAAACCAGTAGACCGAAACCTAACTTTGAGATACGGTGATGTCTTTCAAAAGAAAAGATGGTACATCCCAAATCACCGGGAGCTCAAACCAAAAATCATGAGCGCCATAGAGGCTTCGAAGCCCGCAAGCCACTTTGGTCAATTCAAAACTGCAGAACATCTTCGGGCACCGTTCTTTTGCCCAAAGATGGACAATGATATGGGAGAATACGTACGGAGTTGCGATACATGTCAAAGCAATGAAAGCTACAGTCATAAGAAGTACACGATGCTACCACATTTAGAGGTCCCCAATACTCCTTGCAGCTCCATCTCGATGGACTTTTTCGTTAGTTTGCCAGAATCTGAAGCCTATACCCGTATCGGGGTTATTGTTGAAAGCTTTACAAAAATCACCTACTTAATACCGCTCAAGACCGAGGCAACAATCAAGCAACTTTCGCATATATTCCTTCAAGAAATATGCCGACTACATGGACTATCCGAAGTAATCATTTCTGATCGGGACTTCAGATTCTAAAGCATGTCCTGGCATTCATTGATCAAGCTTCTCGGAGTCAACCTTTGTCTGTCTACGGCATATCGTCCTCAAGCTGACAGGTGAACTGAGAGGGTCAATCAAACGCTAGAGCAATATTTCAGAAACGTTTGGTCCTACCAGTAGGACGATTGGGCAGGGTTACTCCCGCTTGCAGAGTACGCCTACAAAACGGCAACCCAATAGTCCACTAAAGTATCTCAGTTCTAGGCGAACTATGGGTTCGAGCCTGATTCCAATTGGCATTCGCGCAGAAGGAAGCTGGACAATGCCAATGTTTCCAGCGCCGTACTAAAGTTCAAGTGGAAGGCTCTTTGGAAAACTATGAGGACTGATATTTTTCAGGCACAGGCCCGGCAGAAGAAATGGTATGACCAGAAGCATATGAAAGCTCCAGAACCTAAAGATGGGGATAAGGTGATGATGGACCGACGCAATATGGTTGCCGATCGACCCTCAAGCAAGCTTGACTACAAGAAACTAGGTATCTTTGAGGTTGATGAGAAACTTGTTGTTGCGTTCTACAGGCTGAAGCTTCCCTCTCAATGGAACATTCATGATGTCTTCCAAATATTTCTGCTGGAGTCCTATCGGGGACTGAAATACCCTCAACGCACTGAAGTCCCTCCTACTCCAGATGAGGTCGAAGGAGAATACAGTTACGCTCTCCAAGAAATAGCTAATAGCCGATGGCAACAGGCTGGGCATTAGAAAATGTTTGTAGAGTATTGCATTGTTTGGGAGGGTTATCGTTCGGAAGACTCCTGGGAACCATACGAAATTCTGCAAGGAAGTGCCGACGAGGCCCTGAAAGAATTTCATCAAAAATACCCGCAAAAACCTCGGAAAATACGGTGAAACTCTAGGGATCCTCAAAACACGGCGTGAGTAGCTCTGTATCCCAGAAGAAATCCGGAAACAAAAACCAACTCTCCTGTACCAGGTTTTTCATCGGTCTGACAGAGTTCGGATACCATTTTTCCCTGAAAACAATGCAAGAAACGATAGAAAACCGAAGCGTGAGGAAACCCGCGTGAAAAAGACAAGGGAAAAAAAGAGATTCTTGCTAACATCGAAACCTCCACGAGTGGAACGGAAGGTTCTACGACAAGAGTGGAGAATATTTCATTTTCTTTGTTTTTAAAAGGCATTTCATTTTAGAGTTTTCTTTCTCTGATGGAAATAGAAACAGAGATGGAGTTTGTACGTAATCACCAATAGAGCTACAGTTTTTCTTCTATGCCAAATACTAATATTCCAGTAACACTACAGTGGACTCAAAACGAGTCTACAATAGAGGGGAGTAATGCAACAAGGCCACTATCAGGCTGTTACAAAAGAACCTATTCCATCAGTTAAGCCATCGGTCCTAAGTAACAGCAGCTTGTTCTTCATCGACGCATGAAGTTTCATGCTGATTTAGGTGTCACCTTGGTGCAATTAGTCGACATTTTGGTGTCGTTTTGGGCATCAATTTGCTGCTATTTAGCAGTCTGTAGTGGTGTCAGTACAGCCGTCAAAATACAGGTAGGTGAATACTTATCCAGGCATAGCTGCAGATAGGAGGTAAGCATCGCTTCAGGTAGGATGTAAGTATCGCTACAGGTACGAGGTAAGCGTCACTACAGGTAGGAGGTAGGTATCAAGGTAGGAGGTGAGGTAGGAGGTGAGGTAGGTAAGCAGGTGGAGATCCCCGAAATGTCAAAACTTAAATCATTTGCTAGCGAGCTCAAGCCTAGCGCCAGGACTTATGTACATTCACAACGGTACGGCGTCAAGAGGCGAGGTGTTATATTTGGGACGTCTACTATGCGTTAGAGTGCAAGAGGTCATATTTTGGACACCTACTAGGCGTTAAAAGACGATATATCACCTTTTTTATGCTTACCAGACGCCAAAAGACGACATGTCACATTTTAGTGGCTGTGACATGAGGTTTTGTGAGCAATAGACGAGGTTTTGGGTGAGGAAGAGGAATTTGGACATCTTGGCGCGCGGATTCGTCCTGGCAAAACCCATTTTTGGCTGATATAGGGAGCTATATCTGGTATCGGTCATTTTGAAGGGTTCGACCAGGTCTGTTTCATTGAGGGGGTTTGTTATTGTGCTCGATGGAGTTTCCAGTTTATTTTGTTGGCTTTCTACATTATTTGGAACATTTGTTTTGCTTGGATACAGACTGGGTGGATAAGAGTTTTATTTTCCTGTAGGATGACTTGCTTGCTGGTAGTGTTACCATGTTTGACTTGGTTGATATTTTGCTTGATCGGTTCAGAAGCGATGGTGAGGGCCTTACTAACTACCCATAATATATAATTGAGGTATATTCTATGACATGAATCTTTTAGGATTATCTTTGGGTTGAGGTCAGCCGAGACTGTTGGTGGTCATCTTTTCCTGCCCTGAGTACTCAATGGGGTAGAGCGGCGCAAGGAGATTGCCGATATCAGTTTCTAAGTGTTTTGCTGTAGCCGCGAATTTCGTTGTTCTTTCTTAAGAAAGGGGTTCAGAAGGGGTAAGTGTTCTCAATGCAGGGACCAGGTTATGAATAATTTAGCTTAGAAACAGATTCACGATGATATGTTAATATACTATACGGTCTACTGATGTATAAAATCGACTTCGTGAAAATCTTTTATCGGTTTTGCAGGTCAAAAGTATTATTGTTCAAAGATTTTAGTCTCGCGGGTGACGGACGGTGTTAAATACTAAAAGGTAAACAAAATGAAGGGAACCAAAGCGAGGGTAAAACTTTTTAATATACTCGAGAAAACCTTGGTGAAAATAAATCTCACCAGAATCATATCCTTCTAATCGACAGAAACCTGTAGGAACTAATAGAATCTTACTTAATAATCCAACCTCTAGTGATCTAGTGTATTAAGCAACCATTCCATGAAATTTATTCAATTAGTGAACTTTTGGTATGTTTCCGGGCATCAATGCGGTTACCAATTTGAGCACCAATTTGATCAATTTGAACCTCAAATCGTTACGAGTTGGATGCAATCTGCTTTCAATTTTGGAGTCAATTTGTTGGTCTGTATCAGT